AAGTACCATTTCAGTTCTAAAAAATCTATCCTGAGCTATACGTTCGGTAGATTACTTTTTTTTGAGTTTCACTATATTCAATAGTTACCTGCGGTTTTGCCTCAGCTTACTATTCGGTTTTTTTTGTTTTTCACGTATTGACTAGTTTCAGTTTATATCACTCGTTTTGTCCGTTTTTGTCCGTTTTCAGTGTGCATTTTAGTGTTTTTTTTTTAAAAGGTCTTAAGCTTTTGCCAGCATCTATAACATAGTTTGCTTCAACACCGTCATGAAAAACTCATGCAAACGTCCGGGATGCCGTTTTGCTGTCACAACTGGCATGCAGTGTGACAACTGCAAAGGTTGGTTTCACGAAGCATGCACAAATCTGACAGCAACTGCTTACAACAAACTCAGCAAATCAGACCAAAAGTGGGTATGTGTCACGTGCAACACGGACGCAGTAGTCTTGCTGAGTAACATCATTGTCCTACTGACAGGTCTTCGAAACAAGCTGTCAGTTAACTTGGAATACGACAGTAAAAAAACCGATATACAAACAAGAGCGCGCAACGGACTCAAAAATAGGGATGTCGATAGGTATGTCATTGATGGAGCATCCATCAACACTAACGACGACGTGTCGAGGCTCAGTACCATCATTACGTCGACGGTACTAGACTCCCTAGGCAAACTCGGGTCTCCCAGCTCAGGGTCGCTGAACACAACAGTGGTTCCCAAAAACCCTGCAGGCGATTCGACCCACGTTAAGAGAGCCCAAAAGAACCAGGCATCACCGCCTAAGTCGAGCAACCCAAGTGTTGCTGCACGGAAAATAACTGGTGATTTAGTCGCACAGTCTACCCCCAAGACTGTTCGTCCGGTCAGTAAAGAGCCCAAGATTCATAAACGCACACTGACCTCCAAAAAACAAGTTATTAAACCTGAACCCATCGTGAAACCTGGTAAACTAACAACAGTTCGGGAAGATTCTCTCATTATCATGAACCTCGTCGACAATCCTGACCTTCCTCTCAGTCTGCAGGATAAAAACGACAGGATGCTGTGGGGTGAATTGAACAAAAAGCTCGAACTTCCTAGAATAGAGCCTTTGACGGTCACCCGGCTCACTCGAGGAAAGGATTCTAAGCATCTAAATCACCCGAGGCTTCTCCGAGTAACACTTAAGAATGCTACCGACGTAGAGGACGTCTTGCTAGCAAGTCACTTACTGAAATCAGATGGTAACGTAAGAATATTGCCCGACATACCGTACTCTGAGCGCAATATCATACGTAACGTCCCTAAAGAATCTCGCGAGAAGTTTTTCCGCGGACGAAACATAATTGTCCAAGGTATACCGGAAAATGCAGACCCTACTCACTCAAATTCTGACATCAGGGAATGGAAATTCATCAAACAGTCCTTGAGGCTCAAACACATACTGACTCAGCATGTGACGAGACTAGCCAAGAAGGACGGTGATCTTAGACCCCGCCTAATGAAGATAACCTTCCCATCTTCCCACATGGCGGCTGCAGTTCTGGAAGCATTTCGTGCTAATAGACGTCGATTGCCACCTGGAATCCACATGCACCCGGATAGGCCATACGAAGTCAGGACCAAGAACAAAGGCAAGCTGGAGCTGACCATTCCACTTGTGGACTGTCTAAACGATAAAAAAAACGTGTAAAGGACAGGGCCTACCACCTCGGCAAACCTCATATAGGTGGGCTACCTGTCCATTCACATAAGGTTCATACAGAAAAACAGGACGAAGCTCATGCGTTCCAAATTGAAAGCATAAACTGCTTATATATGAACGCCGCGAGTTTACCAAACAAACTGGATGAACTACGTGAACTTAGCAACGCCAACACGGCCCATCTGATAGGAATATCTGAAACCTGGATATCTTCTCAGTTCTCGGATCAAGAATTAGCATTGCCTGGGATGACTTTGTTCCGCAACGACAGAAAAATAGGAATTGGGGGCGGAGTAGCCATATACATAAGCTCTTGCTTGGAGGTGCACCAGGTTCACAACCTCGAGTTTAACAATCTTGAGGAATCCATATGGTGCTCTGTAAGGTTGTCTAGTACTTCCAGGTGTCTAGTCGGAGTCATTTATAGGAAGCCAACTGCCGACACCGAGTACGATAGTCGTATGCTGGAAGGACTATCCCGCTCTATCCGTCTCGGTTTCACACACATCCTGATTCTAGGGGACTTTAATCTCCCTAGAGTCAACTTCGCGGAACACACGTACACTGGAGGCGACAACTCAACTGAAGCTCGGTTCTTCAACCTCATCGATAACTTGGGCTTATATGAAAATGTGAGGTCGGCAACTCGTTGGAGAAACAGTCAGACACCATCGCGCTTAGACTGTGTATTCACTAACGAAGAATTCCTAGTCGACAACCTCTCAATCCTGGCTCCTCTGGGAAAAAGCGATCATGCCGTCATAGCCTTCAGTTTTGTCATCAAAACTAAGCTAAGGTATCCCAACAATAATTTGCGATGGAATTTTAAACGGCTGAATGTGCGAGCTCTACATGACCATCTACAACAGGTGGCTTGGGATGTTCACCCTCAAATCGATGTGGATGGTCATTGGGACTTCTTGCTGCACACGCTCTTATGTGCTACAGACCATTCAGTTCCTCAAACGGTTCCCAAAAGCTTCAAGCCACCTACAGTAATCAAGAACCGTACCCTTCGCCTCCTAAGCCGCAAACGGCACTGTTGGGCGGAATACAAACGAACTAATAACGATGGAGCGTATAGGCAATACAAACATATCAGGAACACATGCACGAAGGCTATAAGAGAAGACAGGCTTCAGTACCAAACAAAGCTTATGGACAAATTCGCCTCTAACCCTAGAAGCCTATTCCGTTATGCAGCCTCTCTTCGTCAAGCCAAAACAGGAGTTTCTCAACTGCTAGGTCCTAACGGCCCGACCAACAACGATGGCGACGCCGCTAACCTTCTGGCGGCCCATTACTCTCAAACATTTCAACCGGCTGATATCAACTTTATTGACGACAGTTTCATCTGCAATTCCACAGGACTTTCTGAAGTGGACCTAAGCGCTGACTTGGTGTTCCGGAAACTGCAGCACTTAAGACTTGACACTTCTCCTGGCCCGGACATGGTTCATCCTGCCATACTGAGGGAGGCAGCCTCAATCCTGGCAACGCCGCTTAGCGTGATGTTTTCACACTCGCTTAGCCGAGGCAAACTACCGGAAAATTGGAAGTTGGCTCACATCACACCAATTTTCAAAGGTGGTCGACGCAATGAACCTTCAAGTTACCGGCCGGTAGCTCTTCTGTCGTTACCTTCAAAACTCATGGAGTCCCTGATATGCGACGGTTTAAATGACTACCTACTGTCCTTAAATTTCTTCTCACCCCAACAGCATGGTTTCAGGAAGGGTTACTCTTGTATAACCAACCTGCTGACTGCGGTGGACAGATGGACAAGCATCCTCGATCGCAAGGGAAAGGTTGATGTCATTTACCTTGATTTCTCAAAAGCTTTTGATAAGGTTAACCACTTGTGTCTTATCAACAAGCTCAAACGACTAGGTATCAAACCACCTCTAATCGACTGGCTTACTTCATACCTAAAAAATCGACACTTTAAGGTTAGGGTCAATTCCACTTTATCTCAAGCTATGGAATGTCCTAGCGGGGTTCCCCAGGGCTCAGTACTAGGGCCTCTTCTCTTCTTGATCTACATAAATGATCTTCCTCAACAGGTAACGTCAGACTTATTACTTTTTGCCGACGACGTGAAACTTTGGAGAGAGATACGCAACCAAGACGATATACAGGCACTTCAAGAGGATCTGACTCGACTTCAAAGTTGGGCAGACGATAACGGACTTACCTTTAACACTTCTAAGTGTAAAGTAGTCCATCTGCGACATGTCGCAAACTACAGTTACAACTTAGGAAACACCTCTCTAGTAGTATCCCAAGTCGAAAAAGATTTAGGAGTCCTGGTGCCCCATGACTTAAAGTCTTACGCTAACTGTGACAAAAATGCCTTCCGAGCAAACCTTGCACTGGTAACGTTGAGGCGCATTTTTGGTCAGTTTGACGGAAGAACTTTCCACACAATCTTCAATAGTTTCATCCGTCCCCATTTAGAGTACGGAAACATAGTACTCCCCCCCTCACTCCAAAAGGATAAGGTCACTTTGGAGCGTATCCAACGGCGAGCCACGAAATCAGTTCGAGGACTCAAATCTAAGCCTTACGAAGAACGCCTTCGTTCACTAGACCTTTACCCACTAGAATATAGGCGTCTTAGAGGTGATTTATTAATGGCTTATAGTATTCTTAACACTTCTGGACATCCTCTTAAACACCTACTTAAGCTTAGTTCGAACAATAACCTAAGGGGTAACACCCAGAAACTGGAAACACAACATAGCAAGACGGAATGTAGACACAACTTCTACTCCTTAAGAGTTGTCAAAAGCTGGAACTCGCTGCCGGCCGAGCTAGTCCAAGCGACTTCTCAGGAGTCCTTCAAGAGGCAACTTGACCTATTCTTAAGGACCAAGGACAGCATCGCACTATGATTTACCAATTTCTTTTCCTCTTTTATTGTTAACATACCTAGGTTCCTGCCTGGAGGATTTGGTGATCCCCTGCTACTAGACACGGAAGCCTGTTAAGCGAAAGCTTCTTCTATTCCGTCCACAACCATTTGAACCATTTGAACCATTTGAACTTCTAGTAGACATGGAAGCCCGTTAAGCGAAAGCTTCTTCTATTCCGTCCACAACCACTTGATGCTTCTTTGCTTTTAAATATACACAGGTAAATACCTGATGTATTTGAAGATCTTCTGCCGTTGGATAAGGGAACTAACTAAGCAAGTGCCTCTACTATTCTCGCCTCAATCAATTGAAACCACTACTACGATAATACAGTGAAACATTTTGCGGCGGTCACGTAGAAACACAAGGTCATCCGGGCGGTTGTTTGTTCTCTAAAGGTAATGACTGCGAAAGAAACTCTGGATGAAGTAGGTATGATTGCATCTGTCGTCCAAATAAGCACTCGTCAGTAATTGTTTTTTACATTGAATGTTGAATTTTAGCTGGACCAAAAACAACGCTGCAATTTCAAGTAAGCTAACAATCTCCCGATTTCGGGTAAAATCTTGCCCAGTTTGGGGAAACAGCTATAGGAACCTTTGTAGGAAACCCAAAAATGTATCCAAAATAGGGAGATTGTGTGTGTTTGCTCAGAGAAACTCAGCCTAAAAATATCATTGTTGGTTTTCATTAAATGAGTGTGAAATGTGAGCTGGATGATTTTAGTCTAGTTCGTGCATCTCACTTGAAATATGTACAATACGTAAATTTCCTTAGGACAGTTATGATTCAGATAATTCACATCATATTTCACGGTGTTTACAAATTTTGTGTCTAGAAATCAAAGACCTGATGAAGGTTTAAGTAATTTAATAGAAAGAACGGGGATTTGCAAAAGATTTGGTTAATCACACCACATATTCATACATCAGCTAGCTTTGTCTCCAGCTCACGTGTTTAACAACTTAACTGAGGAAAGTGTCTCACGCTGTTCAAAAACTTCGATACAACGTAATCACTGGTATATGTATGTGCAAAGGTCTGTTTGTAGACATTAGATAGTTTGTTGTGATCTACTCGTTCCTTGGCATTGCGTCTCTGAGGTCGTTGATCATTATGCTTCCATTCCATCGAGCACAACCAGTACACCTTATTTGTCGTGGTTGTCTTTGATAAGCTCCTAATCATCACGAACTGGAATATTGACCAATGGAATATTTTCTAAAATATTTGGAAGATGATCTGTCTCCAAGCTTTCTTTTGGCTCCTGCTTCTGAATAAGCTGAAGTTTTTGTGTGTCAGATTTCTTATACTGAATGGTTAGTCATACCCAGTGTTAAATCTGACACTTGTATATCTAATCGAGTTGCCACATCGCACCAGCACAGTGAGATGAAATTGTCGAGAGTAGTAAAAGAAGTAACATTATCAGTAGTAGTCAAACAAATTAGCAACAAAAATGTGATCCAAGGAAAAAAGTAGCTTACGTACTATAAGGTAATTTAAAAACTCAGGAATTAAATGCGAGAAAAATATAAATGCAACTCCACCATTGCAACCGATTTTGAGCCACGTCACCAAACACTTTGTTTACGGTAATCGCATGTACCCCAACAAGGTAATCTGCACCTACCGGTATTCCACAAATTTTTCATAGCTGTGTAATGAATCAGAGTCAGCACAGCAAATAGTTACTGATTTATTCATGACTTCTCTAATTTTCATAGTATGGAGGAATGATTTTTTAAGAAGTATACATAATCAGTGAATTGGAGTTCTAAGTGAATTAGTGTCAGACATGGTGTCAAAATACTAAACTGTCCAACGTTCAAGATCTTTTCAGGAAGATCATAATCAAAGCAGTGAAACTTGATTGGGCATATGTGTTTTTCATTCGACTTCGCATAGTCAAATTTTGCGCTAGTTTAAGCAACTGACTAGTGTCATCATATCTGATTCATGAAACGGGCTTGAAGATGAGTACATAAATATTTACTTTGTTATTAAACTACATCTAATTTTATTTATCACCCCCAAAATGCCTTGGTACGGCCGAGAGTGGGTAGAGTTCGATCTCCATCTCGAAATGCTCTCACATGGCCACGCGTATATAGCCTCTTACAGGAAGTCATACTCACTTCATTCTCGCACAACGAGTGTTGTTTACGAAAATGAGAGGACGAGAAGCGAATGTCCAGCATTGGCTTTAACCGGGTTGGTGGACATAGAGAGTCCACCTAGGGGAGTTGGAAAACCCTTATTCCAAACCAATGGTGCACATGGGCTACAGCGTCCTGAAGGAGCAACTGGCGTAAGAACCAATCGTTGGTCACCGGCTACTATGGGACTGCATCTCGTTACGTTGCTCCACTGCTTTGTGGATCAGACTTTCAGATCGAAGGCTCCGGGTGTGGCCCTCTCTGGAAACCACCTGCTTCGGTTTGGGCACCCGGACAGTATCACAGCCCTCACATATATCAAATGAGATCTGTGTGGCGCATATGCATTTGGTGCTTCATTGTACCAATATCTGTGTGTTAAAATAAATAAATAAAATAATTTTATTTATCTGATACACAATTGTAATCTTCAAAAAGAATATTCTTCATTATGCATATTTTCAGATTGGGAAACAACTCATAACTGTATTCACAAATTATTATGTGGTGTTCATTCAACTGAAGAGATTAAACATTCCATCGAAAATCTATTCAACAAGTTTTTACTTTCGAAATCTGACAATTCAAGTATACATCTATATATATCATTTTAATGATAACAATAAGTTTATGGATTCTTCCAAAGAGAGTATTTTACTTTTATGGAATTACATCCATATAGACGATATTGCATTATACAAGTATGTTATTAAATAGAGATCGTTTTCGGTTGTTTTAAAACATAATAGTTTATTCTTTTATTAGATCTAAATTACATTTCCGAACGTCTTTTAGTCGTTTTGTCCAATAATGATCTGGATCATGTCAATTGGTCTCATATTCTTCAATTGATATCTGTTATGATTACATGTATTAAAGGAGGTGTGTCCACTGTTAAATGTAAGTTTGTTTCATGTAATGCATGTATATATTTGTATGTGTAGAATGGTGACTTAATTAATAAATTGCAAGTAAACTATGATGTTCAATGTCTGAGTTATTGAAATATCCTGTTTTCAACAATCATTAACAGGTTCATATACTTCTCTCTTTTTGCTTCGGTCTAAACAACTGAATGCTTGTATACACACAAAATATGATACAAATGCTAATATATAAGTTTGTAATTAGTTATGAAGTCACAATTATCTAAATTATTTTAGTTTACAACAGTATAAGGGGAAAGTGCTTTCTGATAAAAAGTAAAGTAAATTTTATAGGATCTCATAATAGAATTACATTGGTCTAAGTCTTGTCATACTACTTTAGAATAATGGGGATGGACTGAATAATATAAATAGTGAAGGAGTTTAATTCGTAGTAATATTAGTATCAATGGCACAAAGAAGGGTCAAATATAGTGAATATCATTTTTATTAGAAGGATGAGAATCACGAACTAAAGTATTACGCGTCGTGGTAATGGGTGTTCAGGCGTACGTAATACGTGGCCCAACCATCTCAATCGATGAAGATTCACAACCTCATCAATTGATTTACCATCATTTCCTAATACCTTGCGTCTAACCTCACTATCACTTGCCCGGTGATCCTAGCAGTTAGGTGATCAAAAATGTTTATACAGAGTATAGTTTTCGTTAAAGTTACAAATGATTGATCACGTTACGTATCAGACAATACTCAAGCCTACAAGCTCCACATGTATATTTTTTCATTCTACAAGTTATAGTAAGGCTTGGTGGCGTGGATTTGAATTCCACTGGGTGGATCATTTCCTTCAACATCTCACTTGCGCCGACTTACACAAAGCCTGTGTTCATGATGAACTAAAGCAATGGAGATATAGATAAAATTACGGAAAAATTCGTAGAAGGAAACAGTTATACTTACTCATTTACTAAGGTGCTCCCTCATCAATAATTGTGTCCAATTATATCTTAGGGCAGATCCCAAAACTTTATTAGCCTTTGTAAACTTGACTCACTTGTGACGTATGTAAGATTTCCATCTTCCAATCGAAGAGCTAGCATACTTCTCAGGATTTCTTTTCGTGTTACTGTATGGCTGTGAAACATGGTGTTGTAAATGTGAAAATATTGGAAGCCATAGGTTTACGAGCATATGCATATTCAAAGTATTGCTTGTGTATGGTTAGAAAACTGAGGGAGCAGTGTTTAGGCAAAGATAAGGAACTTGGAAAAGCCGACAAATTGGTTGACAAGGTTGCAAATCTTGATCAACTGAAGTGATTAAGACACTACCTGGTTATCTTCAGTCCGATCACCCCAATCAATGGTTGGAGATGTTGAGTCACATAGCTCAGACTCGATCACAACGGTACAGATGCACTTACTTTGTTTTACTGTAGATCTCGAATTTTAGTATCCCTCCATATTTACTATAACATTTTGCCATTTTCCAACCATAGTCTTGATCTTCAATGTTTCTCATTCTCATTATTATTATTATTATTATTCTTTTCCAGTTATAATTCATCAACTTCTATTGTCATTATTCAATTCAAATATGAATTATATCAACAATGATAATGTTGATTTAGATTGTTTACATTTATTAGATGATGTATTTATTCATAAAAGTCAATTGAATGTTTTAACATCAATTAAACATGATAAACAATTATTGATAGGAGTTTTATTAATTGCACGTCAATTATGCTCAGAAGATAATCGATTGACTGGGATAAATTATAAACAATGGTGGATGGAAACATTTTGTAATCCATTACTATCAACACATAATAATAATAGTAATAATAATACACAGAATGTACTTTCATCACGTTGTGCTGTAGTTTATTTTTGTGATTTACTCATTGAACTATTACCTTGGGAAACCGATCCAAAATTTCTACAAATTCAAGTCAACACTCGACCTAATTGGTTTAATCTTGTAAAAAGATCAATGAATAATAATCGAATCAAAATTCATACTGATAAAATTCGTGTAAAACCGACTGAATTAATTGTGTCATTCAATGAAGATGAGTTAATAATCCCGATTGATTTGGAATGTACAAATATGATAACTGATAGTAATAATCATAATCATAATACCTACATAGAATCTTGTATAAATCGATGGAATGATTATTGTGAAATTGCACAAGGACGGTTAGCTGAATTAAGGGTAAGATCGAATAATTCTTGGTTAGATGATACAATGATTATGTATGTTAATCACGTTAGCACTTATCCTTTCAAATGTACTAGACCTATCCTATATTATGTTTTACTAAACTAAACCTCGGGATTTCAATGACAGTTTCGATTGGTTATTTGTCTGTCTTTATTTCAATCCTTATCAAATGCTTGTCAGTCAGTCAGTCAGCTACAACGTGGGACCAGGCACATATATGCATTGGTCCATGTTGCTATACCGCGCAGTATAATTGTCCTTTAATTGATAGACGGATATCTTGCCTTCGCCATAGGTGACGTATGTTGGCAAAAGCCAAACGAGCTTTTTGAATCTGTGCTGAGATTTCGTCAGACAGCAACCCATTAAGGATGATCAGACCTGTAGTAAACAATCGTTGCACAGATTACACATCATTTGTTAATCAAGATTAAATTGTTTAGTTTTTAGTTCTGATAAAAGCTTATTGATCAAAGATGATTATACAGAGTATGTTCTTCGTTAAAGTTACAAATGATCGATCATGTTAAGTATCAGATAATGCTCAAGCCTACAAGCTCCACATGTGTATTTTTTCATTCCTTAAGTTTCGATGAGGCTTAGTGGCGCGGGTTTGAATTCCACTGGGTGGATCATTTCTTTCAACATCTCACTTACCCCTTTATAATTAGTGCCGACTAACATGAAGCATGTGTTCAGGGTTTCCTACCAACTGCCCTCAATCATTATCAGTAATTTTTGATGTGTATCTATATATTGCGGCATTGCGGTAACTGAAATCAATAAATAAGATTTTTTGAAATTTCTTCCAGGAACACTGTTGTGCAACAAAAATGGTCATAACGGATAAAAAAATCTCTGATTGTTCAGATGCTTATACTACTCCAGGATGGAGTGATGTTCTAAATTGGCTAAATGAAATCGCGACACAACGTACTGTTGATTATTGTAGTGGTGATATTTCTAAATGTCGATTACCGTCCGAATGGAATGAAGTAAATCTGTTTCGGTAAGTTCTTGCAACCGAATTCTATGTTTTATCCTTTATACTAAAATATTTCGATGGTTTCGCCGACTGCGTATTTCGATTAATTGGGTAGTACGACTTTTCATATTGATCAATCAAAACAGAAAACCTTTTTACTTTTTGTAAATAACTTTCTCGTTTCCAAGCATGTGTAGAGAATCTCATTGTACTCAAATCAAAACTCGACTTTCATTCGTAAGGTTACAGACTTTAACCACACCTTATCTACTTGAGTTTAGTTCGATTGTAGCTGCCACATTGAAGTCTTGGTCGGGTTTAACTATTTTTGAGATTTGACTGAACTATATTGGCTAGAATACTTGTTCCTTTGTATCGTACTATTTCAGTCTGGTCGATTGGAATGTGATAATACTAGAAAAAGCTGCTTAAAGTCCGAAGGTAAAGTCGTACTGCTAATTATACTGGGGTGTGATGGCAATAAAACAGTTTTCTCAGACGAACAGTGTCTATAGTGATGCTGTCTTCTTACAGCTGGAGGAGAGGTTTAAAGAAAATCAACCCTCGAAATATCACACCTCACCTTGCCCCATGGATCTTTGTATTCGATCGTAAGACCTTGAAAGTCAGAGCTAACACATCAAGAACTACTCATAAAAAGCACTGTATAAACCATCTCAAGCACTGCGGTCACAACCACAGATAGCTAAGTCAGATAACTCAAACAGAAGTACTTTTCCACTGTATGAGCAACCGAGAAGTGTCAGCTGTTCCCCTGCACTTCTAACAGTACCTCTCGATTTCGTTTAAGCTCGTTGTAGTTGGTGTCTGTAACTCTTGCATTATAAAAGCGTGACAAAGTTAAACAGATGTGTACTTGTTTACTTAGTTCACTCAGTCAGTTACGACGTAGGACCAGGCATATATATGCATCGGTTCAAGTTGCACAACAAGGTGAACACCGAATTCATAGAAGCAGTTACTATAATGATAGTGAAAAAACATTTCATACAAGGATATGAGTTTATTTAGTCTCATAATATTTCGTTTTTTCACCGAGCATATACCAGTTATTGTCTCATCAGTGATTCTTTTAGAAAACTGGTTATCTGTTTCAACCTTTGCATAGTGTTTCTCTTTTAGGAAGTAGAAATTTAATGGGAAATACTTATATGTTATTGTTAAGTTTATTACTTGAGTACGACTAATACGACATACGACTTCAGTACTAGGGAGTTGGAAAACCCTTATTCCAAACCAATGATGCACATGAGCTCCAGTGTCCTGAAGGAACAAATGGCGTATGGACCAATCGTTGGTCACCGGCTACCATGGGACTGCAGCTCGTTACGATGCTCCACTGCCTTGTGGATCAGACCTTCAGGTCGAAGGCTCCGGGTGTGGCCCCCTAAGAAAACCACCTGTTTCGATCTGGACACACGGGCAGTATCACAGCCCTCACACATGTCGAATGAGATCTGTGTGGCGCATATGTATTTGGTGCTTCCTTGTACCGATATCTATGTGTTAAATAAATAAATAAACAAGACGAGACCTCATCAGACGATAAACTGAGACCGAAGGTCATGGGTTCGAATCCTGCGTGCGGGACCGTGGATGCGTTATTCCGAGAAGTCCTATACTACGACGAAACGTCTGTCCAGTGCTTCCAGGTTGTCGATGGTGGTCTAACATTGATCGGTTCACGGTCTCAATCAAAGCTTAACACCCTTCACAACCTTATACTGATGAAATGAAGAAATAATTACACAAGATCAAGCCAAAACTGGATGTGAGTACGGGAGATGATAACTAATAAATTGGGAATAAATTAAGAATGGTAGATCGGATGACAGTGGCTAATAGGTCAAATAAAGGCTTATAACAAAAGGAATATGAATGTACATATAATCTATTTACTTAATAATTGTCCAGTAAGAATATATGTAATAATAGTCCATAAATAATCCGTAGCAGTTTCCATTCACTCATCCTTCGTTCGAATGTAATAGATTGCTTAAACAAAAATAAGGGTTAGCTAATTCAAGAAATCCTATAAATTTATCAAATGGTTAAATTTTGGTCATAGTCGTTTTACGAGATACAGACTTTCCAGTTTGAATGCTTAAGATTTCCCTAATTGATGGTTATAAACTTCAAGTAACATGACTCGAAATTAGTTAATGTCACAGTGACCACTTGTGGTCGTGCGGTTTATTCGCGGGTCAAACGGTGAAACTGTAACGTTTATAAATGATGCGGTCCGAACCCCTCAAAAAAGTAGTAATATCCTGAGGTTTTGAAAGACTCGTTGTATTTGAATAACCAGTGCTTCTCATCGAATACCTCCAACTGTCAACCATCATGTTAGATATTCGGTATTGTTCAATAACTAGTGTGCTGACCACATTTCAACTTAATCAGTAGAGTTTTATCAAAACTAAAGACTAAACAACCATAACATTATAAAGTGACCACTTAATACAAAAGTTAACTATTTTATTGATTTATTGCTTTGTTGTTGGGGATGGGGGACAACAGTCCACGTTGGCTTCGATCTACACTGATTCCAGCTTTATTAAATGCACCTGAAATAGAACATTTATCAGCTGAGTTAAAATTTGCACGTGAACAATTATTACAGGGGATACGGTCAGCTGGTTTATCACATTTATTGAATCATACAGAAGAAAAAACCTCTACCACAAAGACGATTACGAAAGCAACAACAACAACGAAGAGGAAGAAGAAACGACCAACGTGTACTCCATAACGATCTTCAACATCTAAACAATACAGAATTTCTACTTAAAGCGAATTCTACAATGAAAGAAATAAAAATTAATAGCCGTACAATTAATACTTAAAACGAACTAGATAAAAAAGCTGAAAAGATTGAGAGAGGATATGTAAAAATACAATAACTGATAACTTTATTATTCTTATTCTTATTATCATCACAATAATAAATAGAACAGATACAATAAATGAACAAATTTACGCTGAATGAACCTTGCTATGAACTCACTAAACTGACAATGTTTAGTAGCTTGTTATAACTGAGAGTATTAAGTGACTGTGTTTACTTCAACAATAAGAGTTATACTGTAAAGGAAAGTAAAATATGTCAATGAGATCGTTTATTGTGAGTATAAAGTTGTGGAGGTTGTTGAATTTCATTAAGTTCACGAACCAATCAGAGTGAGACAATCATTGGAGCTCCTCAGCAATGCACATCCACTAATCTTCAAAGAAGTCATACATTGAGATGGTGGAGATTTGTAGCTTAGGTGGATGATTTTGATGGAGTTTTGTTCTCTGAGCTGGATGGTTTGATCGTGGAGCTTTCATCGTTCTTCTGAACGACATCATCAGCACAAACATCAGATAGAAGTGAAGTGTTCGAAACAGTCAACGTCGAGGTGTATAGAACGAGCTGTGAAACGCATATGGATGATGTCGTTTAGAAGAACGATGAGAGCTCCACGATCAAAGCGTCCAGCCCAGAGAACAAAACTCTATTGAAGTCATACATTATTTCATTATGTAATAAGTGAGTATGTATTGTTGTACTGATGTACCGGTGTGATATGACAACTTGAATTGGTGCACATATGTGTCAGGTTCCACTTTGCACTTGAGTGACAGGTGACCGTGAATATATAAAACAAAGTCAATTCGTCAAATATTTTTCTTTATAAAAAAGCTATAGATAAATATACATTTATGTACACATACTTAGAGCAATGTAGTCATATTCTTCAGATATTGTATATTCTATAGCATATAATTAATGTATTTCAATGAGTTTGAGATGGATAGAAAACAGTGTCCACCTTTATTCAAATTGGGAACTTGTATCATAGAAAGTTGTCGATTCATCATCACCATTCATTCTTAAATTGACTTAAGTAAACATTCTCTGACGGTTTTTTAAATTCAACGAAATTATCACAAATCATCAATCGACGTTTTTCAAATACCCAACGTTGTAACCATTGAATTGGCCAATAAAATATAATCCACATACCAATGTAAAAGATATATGCCCATTTTAATCTATGAATAAATGGTGTTTCAAATCTGACTTCGCATAGGTTTTGGAGGAGAAACGTAATTAAGGAAGCGTATTGATAGACTGTTATTTAAAATATGTTGTTCTGTTGTGCCATGCCAAACACCGTGGTCCGGTCGAGAATGAGGAAAGTCTACTCTCGTTCGGCGTTGCGTTATTGCCCATACTAAAGATGTCCTACTCACTACTTACCCGCTTCCGAACTGTCATTTGCGCAAATGTCAGTGTAAAACACAAACGTTTAACACTAACCAGGTTGGTGAAGACGGAGAGTTCACCTAGGGTAGTTGGAGAATCCTGATTCCAGACCAATGTCTATCCAAGGAGGCCTCAGGGATCCCTTGGGAACGAATGACACACCAACCTGTTTTCGACACTGACTGCTATGAGACGCCATCCCCTGACTTTGCTCCACTGCGTTGTGGATAGGGACTTCTGTTCAAGGGCTTTGGGAGTGATCCTCTAAGAAAACCACCGTTCGGGTACCCGGTCAGTATCCTAGCACAGACCATTATTATTTGTGTGGCACATGCCTAGTTTTGGTGCCCATTCGTGTTAGATTCTATGTGAATTAAATAAATTGATAGTGGTTGCAGTGCGCACACACAGGTCCAATCTGATATTTGATGAACCGCTGTACATTTATAAAAAGTCGGAAACAAGATCTTAAGTTTGAATCCCTTGGTAGTTAAGCTTTATTTGTAGTCAGACAATACTGAACACTAACAATGTGTTATATTTCATTCAACATTTTCAACCCCCTTTTGTATGTATTGCATCGAGATGCCTAACAAAGGAATCTGTATATATGGTTGCAAGTAATAATTAATGACTTTAAAATGACATATTTCTTAAAGCTACAGGAAGAAAGGAGGTAGTTCATCTGGACCCGTTCTGTCGCGTGTCACCTAACATCTTCAGCTATTGATCACTACAATCGGTTGGACACTAGTCAGATTGTCTGGATCTAATAATGTGGCTCAGATCACCAGTTATTGGTTTAAGAAGTTGATGTCTCCCTTTAGTTCATCTGCCACTAGTTTCTCTCCAACTCACTCATACGACGACCAATATTCTACGTTGGGGGGGGATATTGGTGATGTGAGCCACATGTTGCAGTCACCTCATTGAACGAAATTTCACAATCTCATCAATCTACTTATCATCCCTGCCTGGTATCCTGCGTCTCACGTCAGCATCACTTACTCGGAAACCATACATCTGCGTCATATTGAACTGTCATCTAGGGTCTTCAGTTACAAATTATGGCTGGCTAACTATGAATTCTTCATCTCCTGATGAAGTTATGATCATTAGTTAAGATTGTTTTGTGAACTCATTCCATCACTTGTTTTGAATACCTTCTACATGATGATAATAATAAATGAATATATATATATATATATGAATGATTAAAACATTAAAAGGATACAATAGTTCTTGCTCTGGAAGATTTATTACCAATGTAATATGAAATGATTCTGATGGTTGGGCGTCTGTTTCGCTAGTTGACATATAATATTGTGTTTTTCCGAGATGAAGGGTCACTACAAATAAGCATGAGAAGGAAATAAACTAGGTATGCTGAATTATGTGGAGTAGTGTCTTAATAGTTGAGATGTTCGTTCGGCGTTCTTTCACTAAATCCCGAGTTGTAACCCTACTTCAACCTGAGTAACCGATTGATATCATTAGCCTTGACACTTAGAGTACAGCTCATTTCCAAGTATATGATGAAGGGGTACATTATTTAATCAACATCCTATGTACAGTGATACTTAGTTGGTGCTTTTAGTTTGATTGTTCTGCTCGGGTTGTTCACAAAACTTTAGCATGGATAATACTGAATGTCAATGCTGATTTTGTTCAGCATATGCTAACTGAAAGTTGAAATATGTGAAAGTTTTGTTGACTCGATGGTAGACTGAAAAGATTTCGGTGTGTATGCCACTCTAGTGTCTTGATAATTAAGGAGTCCGTTCAGCTTTCTTTCAATAAATCCAGATTTAAAACCCTACTTCATCCTGGGTAACTGAGTGACATCACTAGCATTCGCAGTCTGTGCTCTTATGTAGTTAAGCCTACATTCGAGTTAGAGATGGGGTAGATAAGCCAAATTTACTATCTACCTAGACCTGTGCTGGAGACAAGACGTATGAATGACTTAACCCACATAGGACATCAGCCCATGTTATCATTTCAAGTAGTGTATGGTTTTTCCTTTCAACTATGTATTGATTTTCACATGAAAATTTTCTTGATTTTACTCAATCTCTTAATTTTGCGTTGTTCATGTGAAAACGTTTCATGTACAACCGTTGCACAGCTGTACTCAGATTTGGCATATTTATTGTGAATGTAAGCATATGCCTAATAGAGTTCGTTAAACTGAAGTTTTTCACTTGGAGTACATTTTGCTGATGTCACCGAGTAATAAATCCTAATCTTATGTCGCTCTAATCCTTAGCACTCAAAAGATTCCATCGATCGAGTTTTAATGCGCGGTCTCTAGTTTAATTGGATTGGCATCGCGAGACATTTTGATGAGTTCCATGTAATTGGAAGTAGTCAACAGGAATTGATGAACTAAGGCTTTATATTAGTTGGTACTTGTCAGCTAGGTGTATCAAAACTGCACGCTATTTGGCGATTTAAATCAGGGTCCACGTTGTAACTTGTTCGATCTCATTCGACTAACAGGCATGTGTTATTGATTACTCTTCTCTGACTAAATAACTGGTTGACATCTCAGTCGTGCCCAGGCGCGGTGTAAATGTTCCAATAATAGCGCTCTCAACTTGGACATAAATTGACGGACACTCGTTCCCCATAGAAAGCGTCTGTTTCTTTGCGATTGCAGATACCAGCAAAACATGCTGAGGAATGTTGACTAGCATGAAAACTGAGCTCTCCATTTCCTGCCGACTACCGCCAATCATCTAGCTTGCAAACATAGTGCACCTGTTGCCAAGTCATTCAGACAAGTGTCAACACATTGAATCAATCCATGATATTTAGATGGAATATATCCTTTCTCAGTAAAGTGGAATTATCCAAATGAAACATTAATTTATAATCTGTTCCAGTTCATTTAATGGGTGAAATAACGATCACTGCTATTCATTAGCTTAATGTGACTAACAAATTTCTTCACATTTCTAGTGATGTCGGTAATTGGTTTAGCTGAAATCTTACTCATCTCTATGAAGCCATACTATAAATAGCATAACTTGTGTGTTTTCTAGAACCTATTTATTAACTAACTTTTGCTAAGTTAAACTGAGATTGAAATAAAACTATTCAAAGCCTCTTATAATAAACATTCCTCAATATTTATCAGGTTAAATGTGATTCATTTCAACAGTATGATACTGATAACAAGTTTTATGTATAAACTGTTTTGTAGTTTATTTTGTAGAAGAAAAACTTACAATTTCTATCTATCATATCATACATTGCATTGTTTATGTTTGAAATTATTGAATTATAACGTAAAGTATTCATATTCATTACAGGTCTCTATAAATTGAAAAGAAAATCCATTATATATGTGCATTAGTGATAAAATGACAAATATAAACTATGTAATACTTCCAAGCCTTATTCAAAAATGTTCAACAACTAAAAGACACTTGAAAATCTCGGTTGTTGTTTTGTCTTAAAACTCTACTCACTACTATGTGTATCCAAAGCCTTTAGGTCTCGACATGAGAATAACACCTTTGAGCTGAATTAAAATCTAGTAGTCCATCCATAGTTCTGACTGATAGGCTGAGTGGGTATGAACATGTCACGTGTCTAATCTCGTTCGCTCTCTCAAGGTCGGGCGTATGGAGTATACGTTGGTACATATATTTCACTATCTTAATGTCCTAAAAATTGTATATATTATCCATTACTGTTTCATCATGTTTCTCATATGGTTAACTCAAAACAATTCGATGATAACTCCTACCTTGATGTGGTGGTCAACTTTGTCGTGCTATATTGGCTGGAATACTTGTTATTTTGAGCCCTACCAGCCCAGAGAGCTCAACTAGAGGACAGTAAGACTAAAAGCCAGTTTAAGGTCAGAGGGAAAAATAGCAAGGAGACATGTAAACAGTAAAGTGTTTTCCTAAAATAACCAAGATTCGTAGCGACGCTACCTTACCACAAATGAAGGAGGGAGATTAGTAAAGGTCGCTTCGAAAAGTATCATGCCGTACCTTAACCTCACAGATTTTCATCTCTAACTGTAAGAGCTTTTAAAGTACGCAGCTAACACATAAAAAGCTTCGCACAAAATGGTTGTGACCGGCTTTAGGCAGTTGCTCCTTATGGATTTATTAACAGTTGTTTCTGAGGTTCTTCGGTCATGCTCCCAGGTCTTCATAACCACCCCTAACCCAATTTACTTCTGAGTTCTCTCAAGAAATGTCCTTCTATTGTGTGGGCAACCGGGAAGTGACAACCGACCACACAATTCTCACAGTTATCGATATTATCTTTAACTAAAATAAAAGGTAATACATCACGTTTGATATTCCGTTCACAGTTTCGTTTGCTGTAGAAACCAGGAAGCCATACGTTAGGAGTGGGTGTATTAAGATCTAATGTGATGTAACAGATATAGAAGAAGTAATCATTTTGTGTTCCTGCCTCTTCTTATTCTGATAAGTTATACTACCTTGACTATTTTCCATAACTAAATGGGGTTTCAATCCCTTAACATTTTCAATCAGTTGGTTGATGACTCGCAGTGGTTTTCGTTGTTGTGCTATCAGTTAGGGATTTTGTGTTCTGTGAGTCAGGTGATTTAGTCATGCAGCTTTCAGTGTGTTCCTTGACAACGAAATTCAAAGCATCGACAATCTGCAGTTTACTCTTGGTCACTTATCTGTAACTAGTTTTTATGCGTCATTCACTTACCATGTAGTACTTCTTTTCTATTGGATCCATTCCGTGCAATTTAATCGATTGTGTTTGCTTTATAGTTAATTCACTTTGAATAAACAAATCAGTCATTGACGTTTGGGAAATGAATTCACTCCATATTAATCCAGTCACGTTCAGTGAGAACTCATTATTGTTTTGCTAGTAATTATTGTTATGTTTTTGAAAAAAGGAAAAAATGATAAAATTTTCCAGAGGAAGGTCTAATAATACGTCATAGTTGAAATGCTTTCAGCCTCATACTAAAATCTTTTGAACATTTCTTCTTTACGAATCCTGTATACACAAATTCCCGAAGGACATCAACAGGATACATGAATAGTGGTATAACAGGAAAAGTGTAACGCGTCAAATATTATTTTATGTGACAGGTTTGCATGTATCACCTTTTACTGGCACACAACGACATTTCGATCTATCTTTCCGTTTGATTTTTCTAGGTTATTCATTACGTTCAACATCAAGACTGGTGGCTGAGTAACAAGTAGTGCGTTTTTAGTGAAGAAAAACCACTTGAAACCCTTTATTATTTAGATCGAAAGACGCTAACATCAATTGGTTGTTGCATATAACACTGACTAAACGTGTTTTTGTAAGTTAAACCTCAGGTGGAAAAACGTGATCCTTCCAAAAAATCCGACATAGTTCTTGAATGCACTAAACAAGCATTAGATACTTTATCGATTTGTGTTTTCCAACCGTATGAGTTGACATTCATAACTTTAATAAAACCAGGAATCTAATTTTGACCATCCATGTGTGGTGCATCCATATTGTAGCGGTAAATAAATCCCCAAAATAAGTTACTCTGTAAGTCCTCGACATTCGATGCTGGCCACATTGGTTTTAATGTACTCGCTTAGCTGAAGGCACTCGGTTATGCATCCGCACCAGATCATGAGTGAGAATACGGTGTTCAACATCCCGTGCAATCGCTAGCCAGTCTATCCTCAATATTTTGATAGCTTATCAAATATTATCTTCGTACCATCTCGCTTCTGACTTTCGATTTCACTTGGTGGGTACGATTCATAGTAGAAGGTGTTACCGGTTAAAGCGTTGTCAAACTCCAAATACCTGTGGCATCTTCAATACCTAATGAAAACACTAACGTGTAAACTGTACAGAAACGATTATATGAAACTGAGCATCTGGCTTGAATTTTCCAATTTTAGGATAATGTTTCATATCAATAAAGAATGAAATCACTCGAAGTGGAAATCAATTCATCTATTTGAAAAGTTACATGGGGTCTGCTGATGTGTTAGTATAGTGTTTGTATAAATTTACTAAAGTTTTGCGCAATTTGTCTTATTCCTTAAGATTAAATGCAATCGGTTTCGCCCATAGCTACCACAGTACGTTTCGTGTCGATGCCGTTTCACCAACTTAAAGTAATACCGATTATCATTTCATTTGGCTCGCAAGGTTCCTTAGCCAACATAAGGAGCATGTATAAATGGGAGACACTCGTTAATTATTCTGAAGGTGAGAATCTGAAAGCTTATTCGAATAAAAATCTGTCGCTAATCCATCCACAATGTTATACTTAACAGCTATGAAACGTGAGTGGTAAAAATGTAGGACATACAAAGTGTAATTATTCGTAACCGAGTATAATACAAACACCATCTGGATGTGAAACTGCCAGGTGAAAAGTAGAGTCTCATGTAAGTAGGACGGGTCAGTTCATAAAGCAACTTTTCGTTAGCCCGCCAATTTTTGATTCGACATATGAATCGATGACAAAGTTGTTAGAGCACTTGGCTTGATAACAATAGGTTTCAGGTTCAAAATCAAAAACATCAGAATTTTACAAGATTCTGCCAGTATATTTTAAACGACTACTAAAACACCGATGCATATGAAGCCCCTCTTGGTTCTCAAGTAAAAGAGAAAAATTGATAATATGAATAACTTACTCGTAAACCACAAGTTATCGGGATAAAAAGACGCTTGCCGATTATTTTGAGACTGGTAACATTAAATATATCGATCGAAATCTCAGTTGCCTTATAGTCTAGTTTCCCGACATCTTTTGATGGCCATGGAACAGGATCTTCATAGCTGAAGTAGTTTATTGATCCAGATAGGAAGTGGTCTTCAATACTAATAAATTCATTTCCAAAAGTGTTCCAAGTTACATCCATTCCAGACCAGAAATTGGAGTTGATTTGATTTTGATCATCAGCAGTATAAATCCAAACAAATGACTGACTTATTTCAGGGAAACATGGACCCATATTGACAGGAATATATTTGAAATCTATCCAAATATCTACACAACAAGGTTCGGAAATATTTATCAAAATTCTCACATTTCAGGTTACAAAGGATTATAATTGGTGCGAGGAAGAGAAAGACCACGGTGATCACATGGAAAACAAATGTCTTCGACCATACAAATGCCTTGAAAACCTTTTCTTCTGGATAGTGAAAAATTTCAGTCATCGCGCTCTTGAGCGAGTGGTTAGCGACAGCTTGGTTATTGACCAAAACAAATTAGAAAAAAAGTACGTCACTTCGTTAGCAAGCACTTTTAAAATTTGGATAATTTAGTTAATTGACACCACAAAGTTTGAAACATTTCATAAGTAGAGACCCAACACTGAAATTTAAGTGACACCAGTATTCGAATATCACCACAATGAAAAGAAACTTTTCAATAGGAACGGTAAAATGAGCGTTTCTTTAGATCTGCGTCTGAAGCGTTGTAGATTTTTAAAATTTTCATAAGTATAGTTCATGTACTGAACTTGAGAAACAAAAATATCTGATATGACGTTTCGCTGGGAATGAACATTTCAAGTTGTCGCAGTTGATGTATCATTGAAATAAATAGTTCCGTAGGTCTTCGAACTCAATTGTCACCTCATTCGCTTCACTTCAGAATTGTGAAAAATCTCAGTCATCCTGATTTTAAGCGACTGATCAAGAATCCTTTTCAGTTGTTTCAAGTAGTTGTGAAAAGAATTGAGGAGGATTTTGCTGAGCGGGTTTGTATATCAGTTAGATAGATTTCAAATATATTCCTGTCAATATGGGTCCATGTTTCCCTGAAATAAGTCAGTCATTTGTTTGGATTTATACTGCTGATGATCAAAATCAAATCAACTCCAATTTCTGGTCTGGAATGGATGTAACTTGGAACACTTTTGGAAATGAATTTATTAGTATTGAAGACCACTTCCTATCTGGATCAATAAACTACTTCAGCTATGAAGATCCTGTTCCATGGCCATCAAAAGATGTCGGGAAACTAGACTATAAGGCAACTGAGATTTCGATCGATATATTTAATGTTACCAGTCTCAAAATAATCGGCAAGCGTCTTTTTATCCCGATAACTTGTGGTTTACGAGTAAGTTATTCATATTATCAATTTTTCTCTTTTACTTGAGAACCAAGAGGGGCTTCATATGCATCGGTGTTTTAGTAGTCGTTTAAAATATACTGGCAGAATCTTGTAAAATTCTGATGTTTTTGATTTTGAACCTGAAACCTATTGTTATCAAGCCAAGTGCTCTAACAACTTTGTCATCGATTCATATGTCGAATCAAAAATTGGCGGGCTAACGAAAAGTTGCTTTATGAACTGACCCGTCCTACTTACATGAGACTCTACTTTTCACCTGGCAGTTTCACATCCAGATGGTGTTTGTATTATACTCGGTTACGAATAATTACACTTTGTATGTCCTACATTTTTACCACTCACGTTTCATAGCTGTTAAGTATAACATTGTGGATGGATTAGCGACAGATTTTTATTCGAATAAGCTTTCAGATTCTCACCTTCAGAATAATTAACGAGTGTCTCCCATTTATACATGCTCCTTATGTTGGCTAAGGAACCTTGCGAGCCAAATGAAATGATAATCGGTATTACTTTAAGTTGGTGAAACGGCATCGACACGAAACGTACTGTGGTAGCTATGGGCGAAACCGATTGCATTTAATCTTAAGGAATAAGACAAATTGCGCAAAACTTTAGTAAATTTATACAAACACTATACTAACACATCAGCAGACCCCATGTAACTTTTCAAATAGATGAATTGATTTCCACTTCGAGTGATTTCATTCTTTATTGATATGAAACATTATCCTAAAATTGGAAAATTCAAGCCAGATGCTCAGTTTCATATAATCGTTTCTGTACAGTTTACACGTTAGTGTTTTCATTAGGTATTGAAGATGCCACAGGTATTTGGAGTTTGACAACGCTTTAACCGGTAACACCTTCTACTATGAATCGTACCCACCAAGTGAAATCGAAAGTCAGAAGCGAGATGGTACGAAGATAATATTTGATAAGCTATCAAAATATTGAGGATAGACTGGCTAGCGATTGCACGGGATGTTGAACACCGTATTCTCACTCATGATCTGGTGCGGATGCATAACCGAGTGCCTTCAGCTAAGCGAGTACATTAAAACCAATGTGGCCAGCATCGAATGTCGAGGACTTACAGAGTAACTTATTTTGGGGATTTATTTACCGCTACAATATGGATGCACCACACATGGATGGTCAAAATTAGATTCCTGGTTTTATTAAAGTTATGAATGTCAACTCATACGGTTGGAAAACACAAATCGATAAAGTATCTAATGCTTGTTTAGTGCATTCAAGAACTATGTCGGATTTTTTGGAAGGATCACGTTTTTCCACCTGAGGTTTAACTTACAAAAACACGTTTAGTCAGTGTTATATGCAACAACCAATTGATGTTAGCGTCTTTCGATCTAAATAATAAAGGGTTTCAAGTGGTTTTTCTTCACTAAAAACGCACTACTTGTTACTCAGCCACCAGTCTTGATGTTGAACGTAATGAATAACCTAGAAAAATCAAACGGAAAGATAGATCGAAATGTCGTTGTGTGCCAGTAAAAGGTGATACATGCAAACCTGTCACATAAAATAATATTTGACGCGTTACACTTTTCCTGTTATACCACTATTCATGTATCCTGTTGATGTCCTTCGGGAATTTGTGTATACAGGATTCGTAAAGAAGAAATGTTCAAAAGATTTTAGTATGAGGCTGAAAGCATTTCAACTATGACGTATTATTAGACCTTCCTCTGGAAAATTTTATCATTTTTTCCTTTTTTCAAAAACATAACAATAATTACTAGCAAAACAATAATGAGTTCTCACTGAACGTGACTGGATTAATATGGAGTGAATTCATTTCCCAAACGTCAATGACTGATTTGTTTATTCAAAGTGAATTAACTATAAAGCAAACACAATCGATTAAATTGCACGGAATGGATCCAATAGAAAAGAAGTACTACATGGTAAGTGAATGACGCATAAAAACTAGTTACAGATAAGTGACCAAGAGTAAACTGCAGATTGTCGATGCTTTGAATTTCGTTGTCAAGGAACACACTGAAAGCTGCATGACTAAATCACCTGACTCACAGAACACAAAATCCCTAACTGATAGCACAACAACGAAAACCACTGCGAGTCATCAACCAACTGATTGAAAATGTTAAGGGATTGAAACCCCATTTAGTTATGGAAAATAGTCAAGGTAGTATAACTTATCAGAATAAGAAGAGGCAGGAACACAAAATGATTACTTCTTCTATATCTGTTACATCACATTAGATCTTAATGCACCCACTCCTAACGTATGGCTTCCTGGTTTCTACAGCAAACGAAACTGTGAACGGAATATCAAACGTGATGTATTACCTTTTATTTTAGTTAAAGATAATATCGATAACTGTGAGAATTGTGTGGTCGGTTGTCACTTCCCGGTTGCCCACACAATAGAAGGACATTTCTTGAGAGAACTCAGAAGTAAATTGGGTTAGGGGTGGTTATGAAGACCTGGGAGCATGACCGAAGAACCTCAGAAACAACTGTTAATAAATCCATAAGGAGCAACTGCCTAAAGCCGGTCACAACCATTTTGTGCGAAGCTTTTTATGTGTTAGCTGCGTACTTTAAAAGCTCTTACAGTTAGAGATGAAAATCTGTGAGGTTAAGGTACGGCATGATACTTTTCGAAGCGACCTTTACTAATCTCCCTCCTTCATTTGTGGTAAGGTAGCGTCGCTACGAATCTTGGTTATTTTAGGAAAACACTTTACTGTTTACATGTCTCCTTGCTATTTTTCCCTCTGACCTTAAACTGGCTTTTAGTCTTACTGTCCTCTAGTTGAGCTCTCTGGGCTGGTAGGGCTCAAAATAACAAGTATTCCAGCCAATATAGCACGACAAAGTTGACCACCACATCAAGGTAGGAGTTATCATCGAATTGTTTTGAGTTAACCATATGAGAAACATGATGAAACAGTAATGGATAATATATACAATTTTTAGGACATTAAGATAGTGAAATATATGTACCAACGTATACTCCATACGCCCGACCTTGAGAGAGCGAACGAGATTAGACACGTGACATGTTCATACCCACTCAGCCTATCAGTCAGAACTATGGATGGACTACTAGATTTTAATTCAGCTCAAAGGTGTTATTCTCATGTCGAGACCTAAAGGCTTTGGATACACATAGTAGTGAGTAGAGTTTTAAGACAAAACAACAACCGAGATTTTCAAGTGTCTTTTAGTTGTTGAACATTTTTGAATAAGGCTTGGAAGTATTACATAGTTTATATTTGTCATTTTATCACTAATGCACATATATAATGGATTTTCTTTTCAATTTATAGAGACCTGTAATGAATATGAATACTTTACGTTATAATTCAATAATTTCAAACATAAACAATGCAATGTATGATATGATAGATAGAAATTGTAAGTTTTTCTTCTACAAAATAAACTACAAAACAGTTTATACATAAAACTTGTTATCAGTATCATACTGTTGAAATGAATCACATTTAACCTGATAAATATTGAGGAATGTTTATTATAAGAGGCTTTGAATAGTTTTATTTCAATCTCAGTTTAACTTAGCAAAAGTTAGTTAATAAATAGGTTCTAGAAAACACACAAGTTATGCTATTTATAGTATGGCTTCATAGAGATGAGTAAGATTTCAGCTAAACCAATTACCGACATCACTAGAAATGTGAAGAAATTTGTTAGTCACATTAAGCTAATGAATAGCAGTGATCGTTATTTCACCCATTAAATGAACTGGAACAGATTATAAATTAATGTTTCATTTGGATAATTCCACTTTACTGAGAAAGGATATATTCCATCTAAATATCATGGATTGATTCAATGTGTTGACACTTGTCTGAATGACTTGGCAACAGGTGCACTATGTTTGCAAGCTAGATGATTGGCGGTAGTCGGCAGGAAATGGAGAGCTCAGTTTTCATGCTAGTCAACATTCCTCAGCATGTTTTGCTGGTATCTGCAATCGCAAAGAAACAGACGCTTTCTATGGGGAACGAGTGTCCGTCAATTTATGTCCAAGTTGAGAGCGCTATTATTGGAACATTTACACCGCGCCTGGGCACGACTGAGATGTCAACCAGTTATTTAGTCAGAGAAGAGTAATCAATAACACATGCCTGTTAGTCGAATGAGATCGAACAAGTTACAACGTGGACCCTGATTTAAATCGCCAAATAGCGTGCAGTTTTGATACACCTAGCTGACAAGTCCCAACTAATATAAAGCCTTAGTTCATCAATTCCTGTTGACTACTTCCAATTACATGGAACTCATCAAAATGTCTCGCGATGCCAATCCAATTAAACTAGAGACCGCGCATTAAAACTCGATCGATGGAATCTTTTGAGTGCTAAGGATTAGAGCGACATAAGATTAGGATTTATTACTCGGTGACATCAGCAAAATGTACTCCAAGTGAAAAACTTCAGTTTAACGAACTCTATTAGGCATATGCTTACATTCACAATAAATATGCCAAATCTGAGTACAGCTGTGCAACGGTTGTACATGAAACGTTTTCACATGAACAACGCAAAATTAAGAGATTGAGTAAAATCAAGAAAATTTTCATGTGAAAATCAATACATAGTTGAAAGGAAAAACCATACACTACTTGAAATGATAACATGGGCTGATGTCCTATGTGGGTTAAGTCATTCATACGTCTTGTCTCCAGCACAGGTCTAGGTAGATAGTAAATTTGGCTTATCTACCCCATCTCTAACTCGAATGTAGGCTTAACTACATAAGAGCACAGACTGCGAATGCTAGTGATGTCACTCAGTTACCCAGGATGAAGTAGGGTTTTAAATCTGGATTTATTGAAAGAAAGCTGAACGGACTCCTTAATTATCAAGACACTAGAGTGGCATACACACCGAAATCTTTTCAGTCTACCATCGAGTCAACAAAACTTTCACATATTTCAACTTTCAGTTAGCATATGCTGAACAAAATCAGCATTGACATTCAGTATTATCCATGCTAAAGTTTTGTGAACAACCCGAGCAGAACAATCAAACTAAAAGCACCAACTAAGTATCACTGTACATAGGATGTTGATTAAATAATGTACCCCTTCATCATATACTTGGAAATGAGCTGTACTCTAAGTGTCAAGGCTAATGATATCAATCGGTTACTCAGGTTGAAGTAGGGTTACAACTCGGGATTTAGTGAAAGAACGCCGAACGAACATCTCAACTATTAAGACACTACTCCACATAATTCAGCATACCTAGTTTATTTCCTTCTCATGCTTATTTGTAGTGACCCTTCATCTCGGAAAAACACAATATTATATGTCAACTAGCGAAACAGACGCCCAACCATCAGAATCATTTCATATTACATTGGTAATAAATCTTCCAGAGCAAGAACTATTGTATCCTTTTAATGTTTTAATCATTCATATATATATATATATATTCATTTATTATTATCATCATGTAGAAGGTATTCAAAACAAGTGATGGAATGAGTTCACAAAACAATCTTAACTAATGATCATAACTTCATCAGGAGATGAAGAATTCATAGTTAGCCAGCCATAATTTGTAACTGAAGACCCTAGATGACAGTTCAATATGACGCAGATGTATGGTTTCCGAGTAAGTGATGCTGACGTGAGACGCAGGATACCAGGCAGGGATGATAAGTAGATTGATGAGATTGTGAAATTTCGTTCAATGAGGTGACTGCAACATGTGGCTCACATCACCAATATCCCCCCCCAACGTAGAATATTGGTCGTCGTATGAGTGAGTTGGAGAGAAACTAGTGGCAGATGAACTAAAGGGAGACATCAACTTCTTAAACCAATAACTGGTGATCTGAGCCACATTATTAGATCCAGACAATCTGACTAGTGTCCAACCGATTGTAGTGATCAATAGCTGAAGATGTTAGGTGACACGCGACAGAACGGGTCCAGATGAACTACCTCCTTTCTTCCTGTAGCTTTAAGAAATATGTCATTTTAAAGTCATTAATTATTACTTGCAACCATATATACAGATTCCTTTGTTAGGCATCTCGATGCAATACATACAAAAGGGGGTTGAAAATGTTGAATGAAATATAACACATTGTTAGTGTTCAGTATTGTCTGACTACAAATAAAGCTTAACTACCAAGGGATTCAAACTTAAGATCTTGTTTCCGACTTTTTATAAATGTACAGCGGTTCATCAAATATCAGATTGGACCTGTGTGTGCGCACTGCAACCACTATCAATTTATTTAATTCACATAGAATCTAACACGAATGGGCACCAAAACTAGGCATGTGCCACACAAATAATAATGGTCTGTGCTAGGATACTGACCGGGTACCCGAACGGTGGTTTTCTTAGAGGATCACTCCCAAAGCCCTTGAACAGAAGTCCCTATCCACAACGCAGTGGAGCAAAGTCAGGGGATGGCGTCTCATAGCAGTCAGTGTCGAAAACAGGTTGGTGTGTCATTCGTTCCCAAAGGATCCCTGAGGCCTCCTTGGATAGACATTGGTCTGGAATCAGGATTCTCCAACTACCCTAGGTGAACTCTCCGTCTTCACCAACCTGGTTAGTGTTAAACGTTTGTGTTTTACACTGACATTTGCGCAAATGACAGTTCGGAAGCGGGTAAGTAGTGAGTAGGACATCTTTAGTATGGGCAATAACGCAACGCCGAACGAGAGTAGACTTTCCTCATTCTCGACCGGACCACGGTGTTTGGCATGGCACAACAGAACAACATATTTTAAATAACAGTCTATCAATACGCTTCCTTAATTACGTTTCTCCTCCAAAACCTATGCGAAGTCAGATTTGAAACACCATTTATTCATAGATTAAAATGGGCATATATCTTTTACATTGGTATATGGATTATATTTTATTGGCCAATTCAATGGTTACAACGTTGGGTATTTGAAAAACGTCGATTGATGATTTGTGATAATTTCGTTGAATTTAAAAAACCGTCAGAGAATGTTTACTTAAGTCAATTTAAGAATGAATGGTGATGATGAATCGACAACTTTCTATGATACAAGTTCCCAATTTGAATAAAGGTGGACACTGTTTTCTATCCATCTCAAACTCATTGAAATACATTAATTATATGCTATAGAATATACAATATCTGAAGAATATGACTACATTGCTCTAAGTATGTGTACATAAATGTATATTTATCTATAGCTTTTTTATAAAGAAAAATATTTGACGAATTGACTTTGTTTTATATATTCACGGTCACCTGTCACTCAAGTGCAAAGTGGAACCTGACACATATGTGCACCAATTCAAGTTGTCATATCACACCGGTACATCAGTACAACAATACATACTCACTTATTACATAATGAAATAATGTATGACTTCAATAGAGTTTTGTTCTCTGGGCTGGACGCTTTGATCGTGGAGCTCTCATCGTTCTTCTAAACGACATCATCCATATGCGTTTCACAGCTCGTTCTATACACCTCGACGTTGACTGTTTCGAACACTTCACTTCTATCTGATGTTTGTGCTGATGATGTCGTTCAGAAGAACGATGAAAGCTCCACGATCAAACCATCCAGCTCAGAGAACAAAACTCCATCAAAATCATCCACCTAAGCTACAAATCTCCACCATCTCAATGTATGACTTCTTTGAAGATTAGTGGATGTGCATTGCTGAGGAGCTCCAATGATTGTCTCACTCTGATTGGTTCGTGAACTTAATGAAATTCAACAACCTCCACAACTTTATACTCACAATAAACGATCTCATTGACATATTTTACTTTCCTTTACAGTATAACTCTTATTGTTGAAGTAAACACAGTCACTTAATACTCTCAGTTATAACAAGCTACTAAACATTGTCAGTTTAGTGAGTTCATAGCAAGGTTCATTCAGCGTAAATTTGTTCATTTATTGTATCTGTTCTATTTATTATTGTGATGATAATAAGAATAAGAATAATAAAGTTATCAGTTATTGTATTTTTACATATCCTCTCTCAATCTTTTCAGCTTTTTTTATCTAGTTCGTTTTAAGTATTAATTGTACGGCTATTAATTTTTATTTCTTTCATTGTAGAATTCGCTTTAAGTAGAAATTCTGTATTGTTTAGATGTTGAAGATCGTTATGGAGTACACGTTGGTCGTTTCTTCTTCCTCTTCGTTGTTGTTGTTGCTTTCGTAGTCGTCTTTGTGGTAGAGGTTTTTTCTTCTGTATGATTCAATAAATGTGATAAACCAGCTGACCGTATCCCCTGTAATAATTGTTCACGTGCAAATTTTAACTCAGCTGATAAATGTTCTATTTCAGGTGCATTTAATAAAGCTGGAATCAGTGTAGATCGAAGCCAACGTGGACTGTTGTCCCCCATCCCCAACAACAAAGCAATAAATCAATAAAATAGTTAACTTTTGTATTAAGTGGTCACTTTATAATGTTATGGTTGTTTAGTCTTTAGTTTTGATAAAACTCTACTGATTAAGTTGAAATGTGGTCAGCACACTAGTTATTGAACAATACCGAATATCTAACATGATGGTTGACAGTTGGAGGTATTCGATGAGAAGCACTGGTTATTCAAATACAACGAGTCTTTCAAAACCTCAGGATATTACTACTTTTTTGAGGGGTTCGGACCGCATCATTTATAAACGTTACAGTTTCACCGTTTGACCCGCGAATAAACCGCACGACCACAAGTGGTCACTGTGACATTAACTAATTTCGAATCATGTTACTTGAAGTTTATAACCATCAATTAGGGAAATCTTAAGCATTCAAACTGGAAAGTCTGTATCTCGTAAAACGACTATGACCAAAATTTAACCATTTGATAAATTTATAGGATTTCTTGAATTAGCTAACCCTTATTTTTGTTTAAGCAATCTATTACATTCGAACGAAGGATGAGTGAATGGAAACTGCTACGGATTATTTATGGACTATTATTACATATATTCTTACTGGACAATTATTAAGTAAATAGATTATATGTACATTCATATTCCTTTTGTTATAAGCCTTTATTTGACCTATTAGCCACTGTCATCCGATCTACCATTCTTAATTTATTCCCAATTTATTAGTTATCATCTCCCGTACTCACATCCAGTTTTGGCTTGATCTTGTGTAATTATTTCTTCATTTCATCAGTATAAGGTTGTGAAGGGTGTTAAGCTTTGATTGAGACCGTGAACCGATCAATGTTAGACCACCATCGACAACCTGGAAGCACTGGACAGACGTTTCGTCGTAGTATAGGACTTCTCGGAATAACGCATCCACGGTCCCGCACGCAGGATTCGAACCCATGACCTTCGGTCTCAGTTTATCGTCTGATGAGGTCTCGTCTTGTTTATTTATTTATTTAACACATAGATATCGGTACAAGGAAGCACCAAATACATATGCGCCACACAGATCTCATTCGACATGTGTGAGGGCTGTGATACTGCCCGTGTGTCCAGATCGAAACAGGTGGTTTTCTTAGGGGGCCACACCCGGAGCCTTCGACCTGAAGGTCTGATCCACAAGGCAGTGGAGCATCGTAACGAGCTGCAGTCCCATGGTAGCCGGTGACCAACGATTGGTCCATACGCCATTTGTTCCTTCAGGACACTGGAGCTCATGTGCATCATTGGTTTGGAATAAGGGTTTTCCAACTCCCTAGTACTGAAGTCGTATGTCGTATTAGTCGTACTCAAGTAATAAACTTAACAATAACATATAAGTATTTCCCATTAAATTTCTACTTCCTAAAAGAGAAACACTATGCAAAGGTTGAAACAGATAACCAGTTTTCTAAAAGAATCACTGATGAGACAATAACTGGTATATGCTCGGTGAAAAAACGAAATATTATGAGACTAAATAAACTCATATCCTTGTATGAAATGTTTTTTCACTATCATTATAGTAACTGCTTCTATGAATTCGGTGTTCACCTTGTTGTGCAACTTGAACCGATGCATATATATGCCTGGTCCTACGTCGTAACTGACTGAGTGAACTAAGTAAACAAGTACACATCTGTTTAACTTTGTCACGCTTTTATAATGCAAGAGTTACAGACACCAACTACAACGAGCTTAAACGAAATCGAGAGGTACTGTTAGAAGTGCAGGGGAACAGCTGACACTTCTCGGTTGCTCATACAGTGGAAAAGTACTTCTGTTTGAGTTATCTGACTTAGCTATCTGTGGTTGTGACCGCAGTGCTTGAGATGGTTTATACAGTGCTTTTTATGAGTAGTTCTTGATGTGTTAGCTCTGACTTTCAAGGTCTTACGATCGAATACAAAGATCCATGGGGCAAGGTGAGGTGTGATATTTCGAGGGTTGATTTTCTTTAAACCTCTCCTCCAGCTGTAAGAAGACAGCATCACTATAGACACTGTTCGTCTGAGAAAACTGTTTTATTGCCATCACACCCCAGTATAATTAGCAGTACGACTTTACCTTCGGACTTTAAGCAGCTTTTTCTAGTATTATCACATTCCAATCGACCAGACTGAAATAGTACGATACAAAGGAACAAGTATTCTAGCCAATATAGTTCAGTCAAATCTCAAAAATAGTTAAACCCGACCAAGACTTCAATGTGGCAGCTACAATCGAACTAAACTCAAGTAGATAAGGTGTGGTTAAAGTCTGTAACCTTACGAATGAAAGTCGAGTTTTGATTTGAGTACAATGAGATTCTCTACACATGCTTGGAAACGAGAAAGTTATTTACAAAAAGTGAAAAGGTTTTCTGTTTTGATTGATCAATATGAAAAGTCGTACTACCCAATTAATCGAAATACGCAGTCGGCGAAACCATCGAAATATTTTAGTATAAAGGATAAAACATAGAATTCGGTTGCAAGAACTTACCGAAACAGATTTACTTCATTCCATTCGGACGGTAATCGACATTTAGAAATATCACCACTACAATAATCAACAGTACGTTGTGTCGCGATTTCATTTAGCCAATTTAGAACATCACTCCATCCTGGAGTAGTATAAGCATCTGAACAATCAGAGATTTTTTTATCCGTTATGACCATTTTTGTTGCACAACAGTGTTCCTGGAAGAAATTTCAAAAAATCTTATTTATTGATTTCAGTTACCGCAATGCCGCAATATATAGATACACATCAAAAATTACTGATAATGATTGAGGGCAGTTGGTAGGAAACCCTGAACACATGCTTCATGTTAGTCGGCACTAATTATAAAGGGGTAAGTGAGATGTTGAAAGAAATGATCCACCCAGTGGAATTCAAACCCGCGCCACTAAGCCTCATCGAAACTTAAGGAATGAAAAAATACACATGTGGAGCTTGTAGGCTTGAGCATTATCTGATACTTAACATGATCGATCATTTGTAACTTTAACGAAGAACATACTCTGTATAATCATCTTTGATCAATAAGCTTTTATCAGAACTAAAAACTAAACAATTTAATCTTGATTAACAAATGATGTGTAATCTGTGCAACGATTGTTTACTACAGGTCTGATCATCCTTAATGAGTTGATGTCTGACGAAATCTCAGCACAGATTCAAAAAGGTCGTTTGGCTTTTGCCATCATACGTCACCTATGGCGAAGGCAAGATATCCGTCTATCAATTAAAGGACAATTATACTGCGCGGTATAGCAACATGGACCAATGCATATATGTGCCTGGTCCCACGTTGTAGCTGACTGACTGACTGACAAGCATTTGATAAGGATTGAAATAAAGACAGACAAATAACCAATCGAAACTGTCATTGAAATCCCGAGGTTTAGTTTAGTAAAACATAATATAGGATAGGTCTAGTACATTTGAAAGGATAAGTGCTAACGTGATTAACATACATAATCATTGTATCATCTAACCAAGAATTATTCGATCTTACCCTTAATTCAGCTAACCGTCCTTGTGCAATTTCACAATAATCATTCCATCGATTTATACAAGATTCTATGTAGGTATTATGATTATGATTATTACTATCAGTTATCATATTTGTACATTCCAAATCAATCGGGATTATTAACTCATCTTCATTGAATGACACAATTAATTCAGTCGGTTTTACACGAATTTTATCAGTATGAATTTTGATTCGATTATTATTCATTGATCTTTTTACAAGATTAAACCAATTAGGTCGAGTGTTGACTTGAATTTGTAGAAATTTTGGATCGGTTTCCCAAGGTAATAGTTCAATGAGTAAATCACAAAAATAAACTACAGCACAACGTGATGAAAGTACATTCTGTGTATTATTATTACTATTATTATTATGTGTTGATAGTAATGGATTACAAAATGTTTCCATCCACCATTGTTTATAATTTATCCCAGTCAATCGATTATCTTCTGAGCATAATTGACGTGCAATTAATAAAACTCCTATCAATAATTGTTTATCATGTTTAATTGATGTTAAAACATTCAATTGACTTTTATGAATAAATACATCATCTAATAAATGTAAACAATCTAAATCAACATTATCATTGTTGATATAATTCATATTTGAATTGAATAATGACAATAGAAGTTGATGAATTATAACTGGAAAAGAATAATAATAATAATAATAATGAGAATGAGAAACATTGAAGATCAAGACTATGGTTGGAAAATGGCAAAATGTTATAGTAAATATGGAGGGATACTAAAATTCGAGATCTACAGTAAAACAAAGTAAGTGCATCTGTACCGTTGTGATCGAGTCTGAGCTATGTGACTCAACATCTCCAACCATTGATTGGGGTGATCGGACTGAAGATAACCAGGTAGTGTCTTAATCACTTCAGTTGATCAAGATTTGCAACCTTGTCAACCAATTTGTCGTCTTTTCCAAGTTCCTTATCTTTGCCTAAACATTGCTCCCTCAGTTTTCTAACCATACACAAGCAATACTTTGAATATGCATATGCTCGTAAACCTATGGCTTCCAATATTTTCACATTTACAACACCATGTTTCACAGCCATACAGTAACACGAAAAGAAATCCTGAGAAGTATGCTAGCTCTTCGATTGGAAGATGGAAATCTTACATACGTCACAAGTGAGTCAAGTTTACAAAGGCTAATAAAGTTTTGGGATCTGCCCTAAGATATAATTGGACACAATTATTGATGAGGGAGCACCTTAGTAAATGAGTAAGTATAACTGTTTCCTTCTACGAATTTTTCCGTAATTTTATCTATATCTCCATTGCTTTAGTTCATCATGAACACAGGCTTTGTGTAAGTCGGCGCAAGTGAGATGTTGAAGGAAATGATCCACCCAGTGGAATTCAAATCCACGCCACCAAGCCTTACTATAACTTGTAGAATGAAAAAATATACATGTGGAGCTTGTAGGCTTGAGTATTGTCTGATACGTAACGTGATCAATCATTTGTAACTTTAACGAAAACTATACTCTGTATAAACATTTTTGATCACCTAACTGCTAGGATCACCGGGCAAGTGATAGTGAGGTTAGATGCAAGGTATTAGGAAATGATGGTAAATCAATTGATGAGGTTGTGAATCTTCATCGATTGAGATGGTTGGGCCACGTATTACGTACGCCTGAACACCCATTACCACGACGCGTAATACTTTAGTTCGTGATTCTCATCCTTCTAATAAAAATGATATTCACTATATTTGACCCTTCTTTGTGCCATTGATACTACTATTACTACGAATTAAACTCCTTCACTATTTATATTATTCAGTCCATCCCCATTATTCTAAAGTAGTATGACAAGACTTAGACCAATGTAATTCTATTATGAGATCCTATAAAATTTACTTTACTTTTTATCAGAAAGCACTTTCCCCTTATACTGTTGTAAACTAAAATAATTTAGATAATTGTGACTTCATAACTAATTACAAACTTATATATTAGCATTTGTATCATATTTTGTGTGTATACAAGCATTCAGTTGTTTAGACCGAAGCAAAAAGAGAGAAGTATATGAACCTGTTAATGATTGTTGAAAACAGGATATTTCAATAACTCAGACATTGAACATCATAGTTTACTTGCAATTTATTAATTAAGTCACCATTCTACACATACAAATATATACATGCATTACATGAAACAAACTTACATTTAACAGTGGACACACCTCCTTTAATACATGTAATCATAACAGATATCAATTGAAGAATATGAGACCAATTGACATGATCCAGATCATTATTGGACAAAACGACTAAAAGACGTTCGGAAATGTAATTTAGATCTAATAAAAGAATAAACTATTATGTTTTAAAACAACCGAAAACGATCTCTATTTAATAACATACTTGTATAATGCAATATCGTCTATATGGATGTAATTCCATAAAAGTAAAATACTCTCTTTGGAAGAATCCATAAACTTATTGTTATCATTAAAATGATATATATAGATGTATACTTGAATTGTCAGATTTCGAAAGTAAAAACTTGTTGAATAGATTTTCGATGGAATGTTTAATCTCTTCAGTTGAATGAACACCACATAATAATTTGTGAATACAGTTATGAGTTGTTTCCCAATCTGAAAATATGCATAATGAAGAATATTCTTTTTGAAGATTACAATTGTGTATCAGATAAATAAAATTATTTTATTTATTTATTTTAACACACAGATATTGGTACAATGAAGCACCAAATGCATATGCGCCACACAGATCTCATTTGATATATGTGAGGGCTGTGATACTGTCCGGGTGCCCAAACCGAAGCAGGTGGTTTCCAGAGAGGGCCACACCCGGAGCCTTCGATCTGAAAGTCTGATCCACAAAGCAGTGGAGCAACGTAACGAGATGCAGTCCCATAGTAGCCGGTGACCAACGATTGGTTCTTACGCCAGTTGCTCCTTCAGGACGCTGTAGCCCATGTGCACCATTGGTTTGGAATAAGGGTTTTCCAACTCCCCTAGGTGGACTCTCTATGTCCACCAACCCGGTTAAAGCCAATGCTGGACATTCGCTTCTCGTCCTCTCATTTTCGTAAACAACACTCGTTGTGCGAGAATGAAGTGAGTATGACTTCCTGTAAGAGGCTATATACGCGTGGCCATGTGAGAGCATTTCGAGATGGAGATCGAACTCTACCCACTCTCGGCCGTACCAAGGCATTTTGGGGGTGATAAATAAAATTAGATGTAGTTTAATAACAAAGTAAATATTTATGTACTCATCTTCAAGCCCGTTTCATGAATCAGATATGATGACACTAGTCAGTTGCTTAAACTAGCGCAAAATTTGACTATGCGAAGTCGAATGAAAAACACATATGCCCAATCAAGTTTCACTGCTTTGATTATGATCTTCCTGAAAAGATCTTGAACGTTGGACAGTTTAGTATTTTGACACCATGTCTGACACTAATTCACTTAGAACTCCAATTCACTGATTATGTATACTTCTTAAAAAATCATTCCTCCATACTATGAAAATTAGAGAAGTCATGAATAAATCAGTAACTATTTGCTGTGCTGACTCTGATTCATTACACAGCTATGAAAAATTTGTGGAATACCGGTAGGTGCAGATTACCTTGTTGGGGTACATGCGATTACCGTAAACAAAGTGTTTGGTGACGTGGCTCAAAATCGGTTGCAATGGTGGAGTTGCATTTATATTTTTCTCGCATTTAATTCCTGAGTTTTTAAATTACCTTATAGTACGTAAGCTACTTTTTTCCTTGGATCACATTTTTGTTGCTAATTTGTTTGACTACTACTGATAATGTTACTTCTTTTACTACTCTCGACAATTTCATCTCACTGTGCTGGTGCGATGTGGCAACTCGATTAGATATACAAGTGTCAGATTTAACACTGGGTATGACTAACCATTCAGTATAAGAAATCTGACACACAAAAACTTCAGCTTATTCAGAAGCAGGAGCCAAAAGAAAGCTTGGAGACAGATCATCTTCCAAATATTTTAGAAAATATTCCATTGGTCAATATTCCAGTTCGTGATGATTAGGAGCTTATCAAAGACAACCACGACAAATAAGGTGTACTGGTTGTGCTCGATGGAATGGAAGCATAATGATCAACGACCTCAGAGACGCAATGCCAAGGAACGAGTAGATCACAACAAACTATCTAATGTCTACAAACAGACCTTTGCACATACATATACCAGTGATTACGTTGTATCGAAGTTTTTGAACAGCGTGAGACACTTTCCTCAGTTAAGTTGTTAAACACGTGAGCTGGAGACAAAGCTAGCTGATGTATGAATATGTGGTGTGATTAACCAAATCTTTTGCAAATCCCCGTTCTTTCTATTAAATTACTTAAACCTTCATCAGGTCTTTGATTTCTAGACACAAAATTTGTAAACACCGTGAAATATGATGTGAATTATCTGAATCATAACTGTCCTAAGGAAATTTACGTATTGTACATGTTTCAAGTCAGATGCACGAACTAGACTAAAATCATCCAGCTCACATTTCACACTCATTTAATGAAAACCAACAATGATATTTTTAGGCTGAGTTTCTCTGAGCAAACACACACAATCTCCCTATTTTGGATACATTTTTGGGTTTCCTACAAAGGTTCCTATAGCTGTTTCCCCAAACTGGGCAAGATTTTACCCGAAATCGGGAGATTGTTAGCTTACTTGAAATTGCAGCGTTGTTTTTGGTCCAGCTAAAATTCAACATTCAATGTAAAAATCAATTACTGACGAGTGCTTATTTGGACGATAGATGCAATCATACCTACTTCATCCAGAGTTTCTTTCGCAGTCATTACCTTTAGAGAACAAACAACCGCCCGGATGACCTTGTGTTTCTACGTGACCGCCGCAAAATGTTTCACTGTATTATCGTAGTAGTGGTTTCAATTGATTGAGGCGAGAATAGTAGAGGCACTTGCTTAGTTAGTTCCCTTATCCAACGGCAGAAGATCTTCAAATACATCAGGTATTTACCTGTGTATATTTAAAAGCAAAGAAGCATCAAGTGGTTGTGGACGGAATAGAAGAAGCTTTCGCTTAACGGGCTTCCATGTCTACTAGAAGTTCAAATGGTTCAAATGGTTCAAATGGTTGTGGACGGAATAGAAGAAGCTTTCGCTTAACAGGCTTCCGTGTCTAGTAGCAGGGGATCACCAAATCCTCCAGGCAGGAACCTAGGTATGTTAACAATAAAAGAGGAAAAGAAATTGGTAAATCATAGTGCGATGCTGTCCTTGGTCCTTAAGAATAGGTCAAGTTGCCTCTTGAAGGACTCCTGAGAAGTCGCTTGGACTAGCTCGGCCGGCAGCGAGTTCCAGCTTTTGACAACTCTTAAGGAGTAGAAGTTGTGTCTACATTCCGTCTTGCTATGTTGTGTTTCCAGTTTCTGGGTGTTACCCCTTAGGTTATTGTTCGAACTAAGCTTAAGTAGGTGTTTAAGAGGATGTCCAGAAGTGTTAAGAATACTATAAGCCATTAATAAATCACCTCTAAGACGCCTATATTCTAGTGGGTAAAGGTCTAGTGAACGAAGGCGTTCTTCGTAAGGCTTAGATTTGAGTCCTCGAACTGATTTCGTGGCTCGCCGTTGGATACGCTCCAAAGTGACCTTATCCTTTTGGAGTGAGGGGGGGAGTACTATGTTTCCGTACTCTAAATGGGGACGGATGAAACTATTGAAGATTGTGTGGAAAGTTCTTCCGTCAAACTGACCAAAAATGCGCCTCAACGTTACCAGTGCAAGGTTTGCTCGGAAGGCATTTTTGTCACAGTTAGCGTAAGACTTTAAGTCATGGGGCACCAGGACTCCTAAATCTTTTTCGACTTGGGATACTACTAGAGAGGTGTTTCCTAAGTTGTAACTGTAGTTTGCGACATGTCGCAGATGGACTACTTTACACTTAGAAGTGTTAAAGGTAAGTCCGTTATCGTCTGCCCAACTTTGAAGTCGAGTCAGATCCTCTTGAAGTGCCTGTATATCGTCTTGGTTGCGTATCTCTCTCCAAAGTTTCACGTCGTCGGCAAAAAGTAATAAGTCTGACGTTACCTGTTGAGGAAGATCATTTATGTAGATCAAGAAGAGAAGAGGCCCTAGTACTGAGCCCTGGGGAACCCCGCTAGGACATTCCATAGCTTGAGATAAAGTGGAATTGACCCTAACCTTAAAGTGTCGATTTTTTAGGTATGAAGTAAGCCAGTCGATTAGAGGTGGTTTGATACCTAGTCGTTTGAGCTTGTTGATAAGACACAAGTGGTTAACCTTATCAAAAGCTTTTGAGAAATCAAGGTAAATGACATCAACCTTTCCCTTGCGATCGAGGATGCTTGTCCATCTGTCCACCGCAGTCAGCAGGTTGGTTATACAAGAGTAACCCTTCCTGAAACCATGCTGTTGGGGTGAGAAGAAATTTAAGGACAGTAGGTAGTCATTTAAACCGTCGCATATCAGGGACTCCATGAGTTTTGAAGGTAACGACAGAAGAGCTACCGGCCGGTAACTTGAAGGTTCATTGCGTCGACCACCTTTGAAAATTGGTGTGATGTGAGCCAACTTCCAATTTTCCGGTAGTTTGCCTCGGCTAAGCGAGTGTGAAAACATCACGCTAAGCGGCGTTGCCAGGATTGAGGCTGCCTCCCTCAGTATGGCAGGATGAACCATGTCCGGGCCAGGAGAAGTGTCAAGTCTTAAGTGCTGCAGTTTCCGGAACACCAAGTCAGCGCTTAGGTCCACTTCAGAAAGTCCTGTGGAATTGCAGATGAAACTGTCGTCAATAAAGTTGATATCAGCCGGTTGAAATGTTTGAGAGTAATGGGCCGCCAGAAGGTTAGCGGCGTCGCCATCGTTGTTGGTCGGGCCGTTAGGACCTAGCAGTTGAGAAACTCCTGTTTTGGCTTGACGAAGAGAGGCTGCATAACGGAATAGGCTTCTAGGGTTAGAGGCGAATTTGTCCATAAGCTTTGTTTGGTACTGAAGCCTGTCTTCTCTTATAGCCTTCGTGCATGTGTTCCTGATATGTTTGTATTGCCTATACGCTCCATCGTTATTAGTTCGTTTGTATTCCGCCCAACAGTGCCGTTTGCGGCTTAGGAGGCGAAGGGTACGGTTCTTGATTACTGTAGGTGGCTTGAAGCTTTTGGGAACCGTTTGAGGAACTGAATGGTCTGTAGCACATAAGAGCGTGTGCAGCAAGAAGTCCCAATGACCATCCACATCGATTTGAGGGTGAACATCCCAAGCCACCTGTTGTAGATGGTCATGTAGAGCTCGCACATTCAGCCGTTTAAAATTCCATCGCAAATTATTGTTGGGATACCTTAGCTTAGTTTTGATGACAAAACTGAAGGCTATGACGGCATGATCGCTTTTTCCCAGAGGAGCCAGGATTGAGAGGTTGTCGACTAGGAATTCTTCGTTAGTGAATACACAGTCTAAGCGCGATGGTGTCTGACTGTTTCTCCAACGAGTTGCCGACCTCACATTTTCATATAAGCCCAAGTTATCGATGAGGTTGAAGAACCGAGCTTCAGTTGAGTTGTCGCCTCCAGTGTACGTGTGTTCCGCGAAGTTGACTCTAGGGAGATTAAAGTCCCCTAGAATCAGGATGTGTGTGAAACCGAGACGGATAGAGCGGGATAGTCCTTCCAGCATACGACTATCGTACTCGGTGTCGGCAGTTGGCTTCCTATAAATGACTCCGACTAGACACCTGGAAGTACTAGACAACCTTACAGAGCACCATATGGATTCCTCAAGATTGTTAAACTCGAGGTTGTGAACCTGGTGCACCTCCAAGCAAGAGCTTATGTATATGGCTACTCCGCCCCCAATTCCTATTTTTCTGTCGTTGCGGAACAAAGTCATCCCAGGCAATGCTAATTCTTGATCCGAGAACTGAGAAGATATCCAGGTTTCAGATATTCCTATCAGATGGGCCGTGTTGGCGTTGCTAAGTTCACGTAGTTCATCCAGTTTGTTTGGTAAACTCGCGGCGTTCATATATAAGCAGTTTATGCTTTCAATTTGGAACGCATGAGCTTCGTCCTGTTTTTCTGTATGAACCTTATGTGAATGGACAGGTAGCCCACCTATATGAGGTTTGCCGAGGTGGTAGGCCCTGTCCTTTACACGTTTTTTTTATCGTTTAGACAGTCCACAAGTGGAATGGTCAGCTCCAGCTTGCCTTTGTTCTTGGTCCTGACTTCGTATGGCCTATCCGGGTGCATGTGGATTCCAGGTGGCAATCGACGTCTATTAGCACGAAATGCTTCCAGAACTGCAGCCGCCATGTGGGAAGATGGGAAGGTTATCTTCATTAGGCGGGGTCTAAGATCACCGTCCTTCTTGGCTAGTCTCGTCACATGCTGAGTCAGTATGTGTTTGAGCCTCAAGGACTGTTTGATGAATTTCCATTCCCTGATGTCAGAATTTGAGTGAGTAGGGTCTGCATTTTCCGGTATACCTTGGACAATTATGTTTCGTCCGCGGAAAAACTTCTCGCGAGATTCTTTAGGGACGTTACGTATGATATTGCGCTCAGAGTACGGTATGTCGGGCAATATTCTTACGTTACCATCTGATTTCAGTAAGTGACTTGCTAGCAAGACGTCCTCTACGTCGGTAGCATTCTTAAGTGTTACTCGGAGAAGCCTCGGGTGATTTAGATGCTTAGAATCCTTTCCTCGAGTGAGCCGGGTGACCGTCAAAGGCTCTATTCTAGGAAGTTCGAGCTTTTTGTTCAATTCACCCCACAGCATCCTGTCGTTTTTATCCTGCAGACTGAGAGGAAGGTCAGGATTGTCGACGAGGTTCATGATAATGAGAGAATCTTCCCGAACTGTTGTTAGTTTACCAGGTTTCACGATGGGTTCAGGTTTAATAACTTGTTTTTTGGAGGTCAGTGTGCGTTTATGAATCTTGGGCTCTTTACTGACCGGACGAACAGTCTTGGGGGTAGACTGTGCGACTAAATCACCAGTTATTTTCCGTGCAGCAACACTTGGGTTGCTCGACTTAGGCGGTGATGCCTGGTTCTTTTGGGCTCTCTTAATGTGGGTCGAATCGCCTGCAGGGTTTTTGGGAACCACTGTTGTGTTCAGCGACCCTGAGCTGGGAGACCCGAGTTTGCCTAGGGAGTCTAGTACCGTCGACGTAATGATGGTACTGAGCCTCGACACGTCGTCGTTAGTGTTGATGGATGCTCCATCAATGACATACCTATCGACATCCCTATTTTTGAGTCCGTTGCGCGCTCTTGTTTGTATATCGGTTTTTTTACTGTCGTATTCCAAGTTAACTGACAGCTTGTTTCGAAGACCTGTCAGTAGGACAATGATGTTACTCAGCAAGACTACTGCGTCCGTGTTGCACGTGACACATACCCACTTTTGGTCTGATTTGCTGAGTTTGTTGTAAGCAGTTGCTGTCAGATTTGTGCATGCTTCGTGAAACCAACCTTTGCAGTTGTCACACTGCATGCCAGTTGTGACAGCAAAACGGCATCCCGGACGTTTGCATGAGTTTTTCATGACGGTGTTGAAGCAAACTATGTTATAGATGCTGGCAAAAGCTTAAGACCTTTTAAAAAAAAACACTAAAATGCACACTGAAAACGGACAAAAACGGACAAAACGAGTGATATAAACTGAAACTAGTCAATACGTGAAAAACAAAAAAAACCGAATAGTAAGCTGAGGCAAAACCGCAGGTAACTATTGAATATAGTGAAACTCAAAAAAAAGTAATCTACCGAACGTATAGCTCAGGATAGATTTTTTAGAACTGAAATGGTACTTTTGTTGCGTAAGAACACAGCAAAAGTTTGATATATGCAAATCACGTTAGGACTAAACTTC